GAGGTGACAATTCACTCTCCACATACACTGAAACCTAACGTTGTGGCAACGACTGTCTTTCCTTCTTCTGCGGTTCTAATAGCTAATCAAACTGAGGATCACATGAGCTTTCAGATGAAGAATGACAGGTTTACACTTCTCGGCGACAGAAGAAGGCTGGAGGCACACTCCAACTTAGAAACTTAATGAATGATACATTGGTTACTCCTGACAATGACACGACTATTCAAAGTTTGTTATCTGGCTCCGCTCCTAAAACTCGAGGAAGAAGCAAGACTAAACTGGCTCATCCCTAGCTACTTCTTTTCTTCATATTTTAAATTTGTTTTACATTTTTATTGAGTCTATTTGTATCTTTCTGTTGGGGTATTACTATACTTGGTATCGTATGGGTAATGTGGCTTATTGGGCTCTCTCATACATTTTTTTATGTATCCTTTCTATTTCAATAAAATCAAATCAGCCCGTGGGCTTTTTTAATATAAATATATAAATATATATATAAATATATACTGATGATTTCATTGAGCCTAATCCGAAGCTTAAGAAAAAAATTATGTCAAAACATCAATGGCACTCTTGTCTTAGGTATCTTCTTTCACAATATTGCTATTATTGTTCAACATGTACAAATGAAGTTACATTATTCATTCACACAATGATTGAGTCACATGTGACTTTATATTGCCACCTCAGTTTCTGCTAAACTTTCATTAGATTCTAGCCCATCTAGTTCATGATGTCTGGCAGTGTCGAACTCCACATAACTTCCAAATTCTTCATTGATTGTTTAATCATTGACAATACCACTGATTCTTCATGATGGCTATACCTAAGAATAGCGAATATTGCACACCGGCATAAATGTCTTGAGAAATCATAGCACATAGTGCATAATGCTATGTATGTATTTTAAAAATACTGCAATATATTAAAAAAGAGTGCATGCTTTATTTAAAAAGCTGAAAATATAAGAGAGAAGTATTCTAATGTAAAAAATCACCATATATGTTATACTAATAACATATTATTTTTTTAGCATATTAAGAATTGTACACCTAGAACTCATGTAAATTTACTATCACAATTTTCACAATGGCATCATGGGAATTTATAACGTCGTACGATTCATGTGAAGTAGCAAGAGTTCTCACATTACGAACGGATGCGGGTATAGAAGTTAGCCTATGAAATTAATTTGAGGATAAGATCTTGGAATATCGGTACTCTCACAGATAAATTAATGAAATTAGTTGATATTATGGTTCATAGGAAGTTAAATATCTTAAGTTTTTAAGAAACTAAATAAGTTGGAGAGAAGACTAAGGAGATTGATAGCTTAGGTTTTAAACTTTGGTATCTAGGTAGGATTCGCACTAGAAATGGTGTACGTGTAATTATAGATAAAAATTTGATAGAATGTTGAAAAAAATAATATAATTGAAGATATAATTATAGCCTTTAAGATTGTCGTTTATACTAAAATTTTTAATGTTATAAGTGTTTATGCTTCTCAAGTTGGTTTAGATGTAGGTTCTAAAGAAAAATTTTGGACTGACCTAGAAGAATTAATACAAATGATATATCTTGAAGAAAGAATTTTTATTGGAGGAAATTTAAATGGACATGTTGGCAGAGTGGTAGAAGATTTTAGAAATATTCATGGTGGCTACAGTTTTGGAGTGATTAATGAAGAAGGTAGAATCATATTACCTTTTGCTTTAGCATATGATTTTATTATTGCTAATATTTTATTTAAGAAAAGAGATGAGCATATTATTACTTATAAGAATTGATCTAATTGAAACAAATTGAATATTTTCTTATGAGAAGAAGAGATTGTTGAGAATATAAAGATTGTAAGATCATTCAAAGTAAAAATTTAAGTACTCAACATTGATTATTAGTTTTGGATTTTAAGATGAAGAGTTGTAAGTTAAAAAATGCTTGAAATCTTTGTTATAAAATAAGATGGGGGCTTCTAAAAGACACAAATAAAATTATTTTTATGAGTAAACTTTAAGATTTGGGATGTTCATGAAAAAACAAATTCTATGTGATAGAAAGTAACAAACTCTATTAAACATGGGGCAAAAGATGTACTTGAGGAATCAAAAAGAAAAATTTCTATAAATAAAAATAGTTGGTGGTGGAATAATAATATGCAAGAAAAAATAAAATATAAATTGTATTATAAAAATTGGTTTAAATGTAAAAGTTCAGAAAATTGGGAAAAATATAAGGCGACCGGTAGGTAAGAGAACGATTTGTGACGCTAAAAATTTTGTTTTTAGTGATATTTATCATAGATTAGATACTAAAGAGGGTAAAAAATATATGTATAAATTAGCCAAATAAAGAGAAAATAAAAGTCAAGTTTAACCCAAGTAAAGTGTATTAAAGATGAGAATCAAAAAGTGCTATTTTGATAAGCTTCAACATAGGTGGGTGAGCTATTTTGAAAAACTTCTCAATGAAGTTTTCAAAAATATGATCGACCTTAGTGATCTTAATATCTTTAATAATAATAAAATATTTTGTTTTTACCATCACATTTGGAAAAAATTGAAGTGGATGAGGCTTTAAAAAGAATCAATGATAGAAAATAATTAGAACCTGATGATATCTCCGTTGAAGTGTGGAAATATTTAGCAGATTTAAGAGTTTTTTAGCTTACTAAACCCTTTACTATTATTTTAAAACCAAAATGATGCCTAAGGAGTGGAGGAATAATAAAGGCGATGCACAAAAGTGTTGTCACTTAGAGATGAGTGGTTTGACACTTGGAGACAAAATGCGAAATGAATATATCTGTGATAGGGTTGATGTGGCTCCGATGGCAGACAAGATTAGAGAGGGTCATCTTAGATGGTTTGGTCACATTAAACGTCTATCTGATGATTCGATTAGGAGATTAGATGTTTTAGCTTTGACTGATATTAAGAAAGACAGAGTTAAACCTAAAAAGACTTGGGCATATTGTATAAAAAATAATCTTATTCTATTAGTATTAAATGAAAATATGATACTCAATAGGATGCAATGGAGAAAAAGGATTCATGTAGCCGATCCCACTTAGTGAGATAAAGACTTGCTGTTGTTGTTGTTGTATGAGTCATGTGAAGGCTAATGAGTTTTAGGAATAGAGTTGTGAAACAAAAAGGGCATTAAATAGTTGCAATTAACTTGAGATGACGAAATTGTGTATCAGTTATTGCCTGAATGAATTAATTGAAATAATGTTAATCTCATGTCAAACATCTTTGATCTACAACTTAATCTTTAGAAGCCATACTTCATTCAAACCTTTTGTATTCATGGCTTAATGCATCTCAATAGTTCAATTTTAATAGCAAATAACTGGCATACAGAATTATGAATATAGTTTAAAGAGGGAAGGGTTGTTAATAAATAAATACCAGTTCTATTAGCAATTATAATTAGTAAAATTCTGAGCAAAATATATGATAATATTTGTAAAAATGTCATATTTTATGTGTCATATTAGATTATTTTTATACTTCTAAGTTGTTTTCTAGGTGCTTATATCCACAAACTAGAGATTAAAATAAGATCATGTAAGAAGATGTAAGTTGTTTCAATCAAAAGGAAAATTTTGGGGGATTAATGATTTTTAGATGCCTCATTACAAAACAAAAAATATAGGGAAGGTTGCTACATTACGAGGATAATTATTATATGAAAAAAACTTTTATTTGTTTCATCATGAAAGAAAGGAGAAAAACATACAATAAGCTCGGCTTAGGGCAAAGACATCCCGAACTAGTGTATCAACAATAACATATAACCTTATTTCTTCTCCAAAAATAACAAAGATAGCTTTACAACCATTTAGAAGCTTTACCAAATAAATTGTCATTCAACACTTGTGTCTGGTGGGTTAAAATCTTATATGTGGAGGAGGATACAAATTTTTATTTTCAACAAACTTGCCTTTGCTTCAATTAGACATTGGAACATAGAGAAATGTATGTGAGTTGAACTTTGCGATGAAAATTCTCTCATTGTGATGTCAAATTTCTAAAAATATTTTTTATTCATATAAGTAATTTAAATAAATCAATAAACAAAACAAAGAGAAGACAATAAAAATAGCATGTGCAATGAACTATGTGCTATAACTTGTCCTATTGTGCTTTTATGTGTCTTGTCGTGCAAATGATATGGTGTGCTATGGTACATTATGGATGCTGTGGCATTTCCTATTTTACATTATTGATATGTATGATGATGATTGTTGGCTACCTCCATGACCACCAGGTTGTAATGCATGCATATATTTGGGTACCAAGAGCTGTGCATTGGCCAGTTTGCCATTCCATTATTATCACCTTCCAAATTTTTGGAGATGAGTTTCTTTCGAACTGATGAAATGATCCAAGACAAGCATAATCATCATATTATTTTTCATATTGAAATTTAAGCTTGCAATCCTTCAACTTTAAAATAATTTTAATATTTAATAATACATTATTGTCTGTTTTTTAAAAAAATAGTTTAATACATTAAAAATGTATTGTGCACTCCAATCCATATAATGACTTTACTTTGGGCATGGATTGATGGATTGAATTAAATAATGACCTATTGAGGCCTTCTCTCTTGTTTCTTTTTCATTTTCGCCCGTATATTTCTTCTATTTCCAACTTGTATCTTCCTCCTGTCCTTCTTCCTCTATTAAACCCACTAGCATAATTTGGTGTCAAAAGTTAAATAAGGAGGATATCATGGTACCAGTCATAATTGTTTTGTTTAAGCTAGCTTATTTTTTGTAAATGAGACCAGATAGTGTAAATCACAAGAATTAAGGGTGATTAGGATGATTACACATAGTTGTGTGACCATACTAATTTTATGTTTTCAACTTTTAGATTTGTCCCTTTAACACAGCACATTGAAGGGCTTGTATGTTGTCTGCTTTCTTAACTTTGTTTTCTCTCTATATTAAATTGATGATTTCTTTTTTTCAAACAATACAGCAAGCTTTTGGCCCTACTTAGTTGCAGTGATTGGAATGTTCACTGTTGTGACAATGTGGGCTGTGCTAGTTACTGAAGGTTGCAGGAAGATCAAGTTGAAATACTACGCTTTTAAATTGGCTTCTGCATCAAGGTTGCATATTTGCAATAAACCTTTGCTAGTTATTTTTCCTAATGTTTGCAGATAATAGTAAAATTGAGTACAAAGTTTATCATGTTTTACCATATCATGAATTCTAGAAAAATTTTCTGATAGTCATGTTATAGCTGTAATTCATTCCATATTTCTATGAGCTATAAATTTATATTGGTTAAACTTTACTTTTGAGAACGAATCTTCATCAAGCTGCGGTTAAATCATATCTCCATATGTAGATCATTTTTTTGTTTCTTCAAGTGTCAAACATGTTGATCGAGATTAACTCTACTCCTTGCAATTTTTTTTTTCTTATTCCGGCTTGGATCACTTCATATGATTATTTATTCCTATATTTCACTTGTGATTTTGACTTTTACAAGGTTAAAAGCAATCAATACTAGGCTTTAGGTTTTTAACTATTCATTAGCATGTGTGACACAAGGCGCTGATACGGGAGACACAAACATGACAATCGGAGCGAACGCGAGAGGCAGAATTGGATGCAGGAACTGGACGGGGATACCATCCTAGTTCGGCTTGAAGCGTGTTTTCATGCTCAGGATTCTTACCTCAAGGCCTACAGGTCTTATTTATTTATTTTTAATTATTTGAAAGGTAATTAGGGTTTCTAACTACTGAGAGACTATTTAGATTTTTTTTTTAATATTTTTTGGAGAGTTGTTTGTTTTTTTTATGTTTTTTTGGTGATGACAATCTTTGTTTCTGCTCTAAGGAGTGTTATATCCTTTTTCTGGTGTGTTTGTAGCTTGTTTAGGAATTGATGGAGAACCTCCTCGCTGTCCTTACTCGCTGTTTTGGGGTTCTCTTTTCTGTTTTCAATCTGAACAACTATCAAACGGCTCCTATACCCCTTCCCAACATCGTCAACCTCACATAATATCATTCTCCTGTTATTCCACAGCCACCTCCCCGCTATATGTGCTTTTTAATTACTTTTTTGGAGCCCTAGAATAATGTCACTTGGTATCAGAGTTCGACAAACCCTATATTTCTAGCGTTTTATGTTTTCTACACCTAAACCTAAAATTCATATAACCTAAACATCCATAAAAAAGCATCTATGGCTCCTACCACAAAACCCTATTCAGTCAACCAACCTTTGACCCACAAAAAAATTTTCCTTACATATCTCCCACCTAACCGTAAACCACTTTTTCATTTCCCATCAAAACTTTCATTGGAAGAATGAGAGATCATGCAACCAAGTAGAAGGCTTCAAAGAGGTGTTTAGGAGATCACTATGAAGGATATGCAGCGAGAAATCCTCCAACCACAACATAAGTTTGTCGCCTTTGAGAGGTGACAACTTGATGAGGTCAGATCGCGAAAGGAAATGAATCTCTTAGACTAAGAAGTTTTGAGTGACAAAGTTGACGCCTCCTTGATTTGACATTGAATATTAGATGAGAGCCAGGATTTTGAGTAAAAGTGAATTTATCAAATTTTGACAAATATTTGGATCCAGATTTATTCATGGAATGAATCTAAACTGTGGAACAAATATTTGAGTATAAAGACATTCCCTAGGACAAGAAAGTTAAATTGACAGTCATCAAGCTTAGGAAGAATGCTTCATTGCTGTGGGAGAACCTAAAACGTCTTCGACAGTGGGAAGGGAAGACTAAGATCACCACATAGTCCAATGATGATAAGGGAGATGCATTTCTCCCCTATTATCAACACGATAAGTTCATAAAACTTTATAACCTATGTCAGAGGAATTTTTCTGTGGAGTACGCAACTGAATTTGATCAACTCATGCTGAAATGTGAGTTGGTGGAACCAGTGGAGCACATAGTAGCGAGGTATCTTGGAGGAATGGGGTCGTCTATCAATAATGTAGTGTTGTTGTTGTCGTATTGGTCTCTAATCAATGTACAAACTCTAGCTTTGATGGTGGAGAAATAACAACATCACAAGGTAACCATCACATTTTACTGGCAGAGTTTAACCTCAGGAATAAGAAACAAGAGTACTTCTATTAGAGCACCCAAGCTGACCCCTCTTGAGAAAAAAAAATCAGTTTATAGTGAAGAAAATGTGAAAATCACATGCACTCCCATATCTGCCCCGACCAAGAAATACTTCAAGTGTCATCTTTTTCACCGACATAGAGCCATTAAAGAAATTAGTAGAGAAGTAGGAGATAATGAGGATGCAAATGAAGAGTATCAGTTTCCAACATACGAGAGAAAGATGTTAGTGATTCAAGGAATCCTTGAGACTAAGCAAATGATTGAGCAATTGTGGCCCGACACAACATCTCTCACTTGTTGCATCGTGAAGGAAATTGTTTGCAGTCTTATTATCAATGGAGGCAATTGAGAAAATGTTATATCTACAAATATGGTTGATAAGTTGGGCCTAACTATCCATAAACATTCTCAATTATATTTTATAACTTGAATTGGAGTAAGATTAATGTTGATAAGAGATGTTTGATAGAATTTTTAATTGGAGACAAGCTGCAAGCTTAAGTTTTGTGTGATGTCGTGCCTATGGATGTATGTCACATACTTTTGGGTCGACCGTGGTAGTATGACAACGTTACACTTCATGATGACCACAAACATTTACACATTTTACAAGGATGAGAAGCGTAGCACTCCTATTATTAACGGACTCAACAATAATGAGTACTCAAACGGAGATCAAAACTATCATAAATCATGTTTTATTTCTATAGGCTATGAGAGAAGCACCAGCAGGACTAACATTAATTTTCCTAAAAGACGATGAGTTTAAGGAGCTAATATCTAACATAGGATAACCCGTGCTGAGAGTTGACAAATGTCCTAAATGAAAGTTCACCTTGGTGAGAGGGGTCTAGCATGCCATAGATTTCACTCTACTTTCGGTTTCTCCAATCAAAGTTATTTATCGAATGCACCTAGCTGGGTATGAGTCATGGGAGAAGTAGATTATAGACTTAATAGTTCAAGATTTTGTTTGTGAGAATACTCATTTATGTGTAGTTCTAACTGTAATTGTATCGAATAAGGATGACTATTTATTCTATCAGAACAGGCTTTAGAATGATGGGTTTCAGAGATGCATGTTGTGGATAAAAGCTTAAATTTTGTATGGAGTTGCCTTAAACACAAGACAATGACTTTCTTATAGTGGTAGATCGATGTCGAAAGGCTTTCAGAGAAAAAGATGAAGCCTCACCTACCCTGAGAGAATATTTCGGGGTGTTGATACGGGAGATGTGAGCATAACGAGGGGAGCGAATGTGGAGGCAGAAGCAAACACGGGAATCAAATAGGGATTCTGTCCCAAATTTGGTGACGCAGGGGCTATGGAGGATTGATCGGTCCTCAAAGAGAGGGGTTGCCGCTCCTCCCTTTCCCTTTCCCTCCCTTCTTCGTAACACCTTCCTAATATAAGTCTTTCCAAATCAAAATTTTTGAATATTTTTATTCCTCTTTTTCAAATTCTGAGATCTGATTTTATTCTTCTTTCTTCTTTTAAAAGCTTTTCCTAAAATTTAAAATATGATTTTATTCTAAAATCTGAAATCTGATTTTATTCTCTTTCTTATTTTAAATTGTCTTTTCTAAAATCTGAAATCTGATTTTATTCTCTTTCTTATTTTAAATTATCTTTTCTAAAAGCTGAAATCTGATTTTATTCTCTTTCTTATTTTAAGTATTGCCTGCAATAAAGTTCTAACCTCATTATAAATAGAGGATGATGTGCCTAGAGTTAGGGGTTTTGTTTTTGGTATCTAAATTTAGGTTTTAACCTTGGTATTTAACCTTTAAGGGTTGCATCCGATGTTTAGGTAGTGCTCCGGCTGTCCCTTGTCTGAGGTGATGATTTTTTCGAATGGTTCAAGTGGTGCTCTGGCTGTATGCAACTCCGACGAGGCAATTATCTTACCGTACTTTTGTTTCCCTGTTGTCATTTCAGAATCCAACCACCGCAACCCCCTATTCTACTACTACCAACTACTGCAACCCTTCCAACTTGTTGTCCAGCCCTTTCAAGCCCTGCTCACTGTCTACCCTCCGAAAGTGCTGGGGAACCTTCCCAACTGTTCTACTTCTTCCACAGTAGCCCTCACCTCTCCAGCCTTCATCGTAGCCATCGATCCAACCTCCAACAATGTTCTTGCTTCTCTCCAGCTGCGGTTCGACGCCATTACTATCGCCAACTTGTTGTCCTACTTCCACAGCAGCCCCACCTCTCCAGCCTTCATTGCAACTGCCAATCCAGTCTGTTCTCGTCAGACTCCCTCCTCATCAAGCGTGTTGTGTCTTCTTTGTTGAGTCATTAGTTATAATTCTTGATTTTGTGCTTTTGTTTTGTGTCTTGTCTTTCGTTATTTCACGTATTCATTGTAACTTTGTTTAAAATCAGTAATAAAATTGTGTCTTGCGACATTGTTTGGGTTAACTCCGACATCATTTGACCTGATGTGGTTTTTCTCTCTCGGGATTTTTACCTTAAGGCATGTAGCCTTTTTTATTTTATTTTTATTATTTGAAGGGTAATTAGGATTTCTTCCTGCTGGGAGACTATTTATATGGGTTTTTTTTCTGCTTTTTAAGAATTTTAGTTTTGTTTTATGTTTTTTTGGAGATGCTAATATCTTATTTTTGCCCTGATGAGTGTTGTGTTCTCTTTCTTTTGCAAGTGTTGTGTGTCTATAGCTTGTTCAGTAACAAATAATGAGCCTCGTCGTCGTCCGTAGCTCACCATTTCAGGATTTTGTTTGTTGTTTTCAGCATAGATAGCCGTCGAACAGCTTCTACCTCCTTCCAAATACCATAGACCTATCATATTATAATTCCATTGTTATTTCATAAACACCTCCTTGTCCAAACTCTCACTCATCGAGATATTGCAAGATTTGGCCTAGTGGCCTCATGATTTTGTCCCATTTTTGTAACTTCCTAAGAGGTCATCTATCCCATGAGTGCTCTCGCATGAGCACACTTTGAAGTTTTTTTGTTGAAACTCTAGTC